CACTCAAACCAAACTTACCTAGTTGGTATTTGTAAAGCCTGAAGAGGCTAGGGATAGAATACTTATAAAGCCTAGAGAGGCTATTCAAAGAATACTCAATACGAGCCTGAAGAGGCTGATTAAAGAATATTAGCACTAGTGAGTGAAACTGGCTGGCCAGGAGTGGTCGAGAATACTTGGACCAGGAGTGGTTCTGACCTGGATGGTCCATAATAATCACTACTAGCAAGAAGTGGCTGATAAGAATATACTAGCATTGATGAGTGAAGCTGGCGGGCCAGGAGTGGTTGAGAATATTTGGGGAACTAGAAGTGGTTTAAGAATATTAAAGTTGGTGAGTAAAGCTAGCCAACTAGGAATGGTTGAGAATACTCGTGACCAGGAGTGGCCGTGACTAGGATGGTCTAGAATACTCAGGACCTGGAGAGGTCGAGAATACTTGGACCAGGAGTGGTTCTGACCTGGGCGGTCCATAATACTCATTGCGAGCCTGAAGAGGTTGATCAAAGAATACTTGTACTTAATTGTTTATCTAGTGGAACCCTTTAGTTGAAGGAGACTAGACGTAGCTCGGTCTGAGTGAATTAGTATAAAATAACTTGCACTACTAATTCCTATTTCTCTGACGCATATCTTCATTACTTATCAAATCTTTGTGAAAAACTTTGTCCACCAATAACCTCTAAGTGAAATCATCTTTCAGACGTAGACGCAAACTTTGATTAACATATCTAGTATACTGAAGAGTTTTATCTACTGCTTATCTTTAAATGAAACTATCATGAAAAGGAAAATGCAAGAACGTTAATCATTATTGTTATATGAAACAATTTCCTTTAGCAGACGATAAATCTTCTAGACGCAATGACCTTGTGTTAACCAAATTCTGCATAACAGTCTAGTATCTAAAAGTGCATTGGACGAAGAAAATTACCTTTGCGAAAATAGCTTAGAATTCTTTCTTACACACACACATATTCAACTCCCCCTTCTATGTGTTTCATGTCTAACTTCATTTTCAATTACTCCACTCAATAATTTATTATGTATGTTGAATTTTAACGATGCAACCGTTAAATTAAAAAAATTTAATGCATAGATCAAGTCTACAAATTTTTTGAAAACAATTTAATATTTTATTTCATTAATTCAAATCCATGAATAATCATAAAAGTATTATATACGTTAATTTAAATTAACAAAATAAAGTATCATATAGATTTTAAAAAAAAGTTTAAAAAAATTGTATACTTAATTTATACATTAAGAATCTTTAATTTAATGGTTGGATCATTGAAATTTAACATACGTAATGAATTATTGAGTGGAGTAACTTAAGTAAGAGTTACTCTTGGAGTCATTTGATCTCTCTCATATGTGTGTGTGTGAGGTGGGGTCCACTTACTCCAAGGGGGCATTTGGTACGCGAAATGATTTTACTTTCCTGAGAATTTTAAATCAAGAATCTTAATTTCCCACATTATGTAGCTAGTTAAAAAAATCTAGGGATATAGTTTCTCGAAAACTTTTTTTATTCCACTTTTTCACAAAAAAGCATTCCTATGAGGGGGCTGGGAATCCAACTTTCCTGTGTTCAGAGAAAATTTATATATATAAAGATCATAGTATCCTTTTTTAAAATAAAAAGTTATTCTCTGTCCTTCTATTTCTCTCTCTCTTTCTCACTTATTCTCACTCCCCTTCTCTTCCTCTCTCTCTCTCTCTCTCTCTCTCTCTCTCTCTATTTCTTCATCTCTCTTTGTGTCTCTCCCTCTCCCTCTCTCTTTTACTCACCTTCTCTCTCTTTCTCTCTCTCTCTCCCCTTCTATTTCTATTTCTCTTTCTTTTTCTCCCTCTCTCTCTCACTCTCACTCTCACTCCCTTTCTCTTCCTCTCTCCCTTTCCCCCTCCCTCTCTACCTCCCCCCATACCTCTATTTCTCTCTTTCTCTCTCTCTTTATTATATCTCATTATTTCTTGACATTGTCAATTTTAATAATAATATTAAAGTTTAGTTTGTTTCTATAGTTTAATAGTATTTATTAACACTTTTTATTTTTATACTTTTTTATTTGAATGAAATAAAATAATATATTTTTATCCTTTTAATTTATTATGTAGCATTTTACTTTATTTATTTCATTTTTTGAATTTTGTATTTAAATAATTTTAACTTTAAGTTTTTAACTTTTTAAAATAGTTTAATGTTATATTTGTAATAAGATTTGAGTAGATAAATATATCTAATGAGATTATTTTAATAAAGGATATTTTTGTAAAAAATATTTATATACCTAAGAATATATTATTGTAACCAAACATGAAAATATTTAATTTTTGAGAATTCTTTACAAATATTCTCATGAACCTTTATGAGTAACCAAACAAATTTTAGTTAAAGAAGGATTCAAATGACAGCGATGCAATACCAATGTAACTTTTATGAAATATTACACTGCTCAATAACTTTATATTAAATATGAATTTTATAAATCTAACCGATAAATTTAAAGTTCTTTACTCTTAGATCATATATATATAATTTTATATTAATCCAAGATGATTTGATACTTCATTCTTATAAAATAAAATTGATGTAATATATACATTTCAAAATATAATAAAAGATGAACACTTTGATTACCTTCAAGTGGTTGTTCAATTTTAACAAAATTTGATATAAACATATAAAGTGATATGAAATTATAATTCAATGGTTGAATTTACAAAAGTCACATTTAATATAAAGGTATTAAACGATGTAATACTTGGTAAAAGTTACACTGGTGTCATTTGAACCCTCCTCTTTTAGTTATTTTCAAGAATTATGATTCTCAAGATTTATAAATCCTAGGAATCATGATTCTTGGGTATGGAAAAACTTATCTCCTAATAAAAATCATATGATACACTTGTTATTGAGTGGAGAAACTTTATCAAAAATTATAAGAATAATTATGGGTAAAGTTACCACACTCAATAACTCATGGTGTATGTATGTTGAATTCCAATAATCTAACTATTAAATTAAAAAAATTAACATATAGATCAAGTCTGTAAATTTTTTTAAAAAAATTGAAAACTATTTGATATTTCATTTTATTAATTTAAATGGATAGATAATTATAAAATTATTTTATATGTTGATTTGAATCTATTTAGCAAAGTATCATATGGTTTTCAAATTTTTAAAAAATTTGTAGACTTGATCTATACATTAAAAACTTTTAATTTAGTGACTAAATTGTTAAAATTTAACATACACAATAAGTTATTGAGTAAAGTAGATTTACCAAAACTATATATAAGGAGGGATCCGTTTACTCTAGAGTAAGTCTACCTAAATTTATTTCGTTCAATAACTCATATTCTACATTAAATTTTAACGATCCAACTATTAAATTTAAAGTTTTTAATGCATAGATCAATTCAAATTTTTTTTAAAAAAAATTGAAGACTATTTGATACTTTGTTTCATTAACTCAAATTAACGTATAAAATGATTTTATGATTATCTGTCAATTTGAATTAATGAAACAAAGTATCAAATGATTTTCAAATTTCTTAAAAATTTGCAAACTTGATCTATGTATTAAGAACTTTAAATTCAATGCATGGATCGTTGAAATTTAATGTAAAATATGAGTTATTAAATAGAGTAAGTCTAGGTTTGCTTACTATTGGAGTAAACGGATCCTTCCTCTCTCTCTATATATTGTGTGCGTGTGCGCGCGCACGTGTGTATGAGGAGGGATCCACTTACTCCAAGAGTAAATCTAATTAATCTTACTCCACTTAATAACTCATGGTTCTACATCAAATTTTAATTATTTAACCATTAAATTAAGTTTTATTAATACTAGATCAAGTGTACTTAGTTTTAAAAAAAATTAAAAATCATATGATACTTTGTTATATAGATTGAAATCAACCTATAAAATATTTTTATAATTAGCTGTCAATCTGAATTGATGAAATAGAGTACTAAGTAGTTTTCAAAATTTTAAAATTTTACAGATTTGATCTATGCATTAATTTTTTTTAATTTAACTGAATTTTATGTAGAAGGAATCTACTTACTTCAAGAGTAAGTTTACCCACACTTACTTCACTAAATAACTCATATTTTACATTAAATTTTAACGATCTAACTATTGAATTAAAAGTTCTTAATACATAAATTTATTTAGTACTTTATTTCATTAATTTAAATCGACATATATAATCTTTTTATAATTATTTATGAATTTGAATTAATGAAAGAGTATGAAATAAAAAATTTACAAATTTAATCTTTGTATTAAGAACTTTTAATTTAATAATTAAATTATTAAAATAAATATAAACAAACCTACTTTTGAAATAAATAGATCTTCCCTCTCTTTATATATATATATATAATGATAATAAGTTATGATACTATTAACTACATGTGAATCAAACAAAATTAATTATTTAACATTTCAATAGCTTCATTACGTTATTAACCATGTATCAATTATTGTATATATTTTTAATTACTAGTGAGAGAATTAATTATATTATACATGCAAATAATCACATGTGACAACAAAGAACCTCATGACATGTTAACACTTGTTAACCACTATGTATTGTAATAATTATATAACACTATTAACCATTGATAAGTTATATAAAATTAAATTCATTTACTATTAACCTCTTGAAAATAATTAACCAAGTGGACACCGAATGAATAATTCATGTACACATGATTTTTTTTACACAAAAATACTAAGAACACACTCTCAAACATACTCTTTTAAAAACTTTAATTAGTTTAAATTTATTAAAAACAAAAGTTGATAAATTCTATACCCTATTAAATGACTCTTACAATTTTATAATTTTCAATAAATTAACCAATAAAAAAAATGAATCAAGAGAAATGTATTAAAGAATATATTGTTAGGACACCTCTTTTTCCTTATTATGGTCCGTGCCAATATTATGAGGATCAAGTCGATCCATAAAATATATTTATGTAAAATTAAAGATACAATCAACATAATATTATATAATATTTTGTAGATACAAAGATTATAACTTCTCGAGTCGCATAATCCCTGACGAGAAAACATAATGCAAAAACTCAATATAGAAGTTGCTAATGATCAAAACTTGGTACCACAACTACACATGAATTCATCAGATCCTTCTGGAAACTTGAATGCTCTGAAATTATAAATATATCTATATAAAAAATGGAACACGACCCTAATGTACAAAGGAATCCTTCGCTGACCCAGAAACGAGACAGGACTTGTTTCTGGGTGTGCTCAAACCAGATTGATGGTGAAGGAGACATAAGGGTAGGCATCAGCATCCCCTGCCAGGCCAGCCATCCCAACTCCTTCATCCTCGGTCTTCCAATATGCACTGCAGGCAAATTATGAAAGGAACAATAACATGTGACAAACTTCAGTAGAACTTGCGTTCGCCTAATATTTTTATATATATAAATAGTTATTTTTCTATCATACTTGTTTTGGTTCTTTACTTTATTTATAGTTCTGTTATAGTATACTGTTCTCACATTGCAAGGGTAGGATGAAATTTGCTATCAAATAATGATATAAAATGAAAGTAGAGCCAAAATCAACTCATCTGGGCATGAATAGAGTAAAAGATAGAAATATTAATAGTTAAAGCAAAAGGTAGAAATAATTGTAGTTAAAGCAAAAGATAGAAAGTGAGAAAATTGAATTTTTGGGGTTCCTAATTATAAAGCGTTGACGATGCCTAAATATTTGAAGGACATTAAGATAGGTTGTGGCATTCAGCAAAAAAAAAACAAAAAAAAAACAGAAGATTATGTGGCAAAACAATGTAAAGACGTGGACAGTGTTTTAGATTGATGCTTCCTTGCTTGAAATAGGGGCATTAGGCTTTTGGAGAGATATCACAGGAATTTGACAAGCAGCATTGTCGGCACTTGGCAAAACATGTACAGTGTTACATAGAAGTACAGATTAGGAGAAACAGTAGCAGTTTTCTTGTTTATTTCCTCTACCTTTCATCTGGTTCTGTCAAGTGTCAACATCTCAAATAGTTTGAAATTAGTCAAGGAATGTGATGATTGATCAAGAAATCACTAAATATGGTTGTACTCTTTCGGATGTAAAACATGAAACAAGTTGAGTTTCCAATGCTTTGACCAAATTTTATGATGATTCATGACATTGTCTAATAAGATACTGCCCAACACATCCAGTGACAAACTCACCAAAATTATAAAAGCAAAGGTTTTCTCAAATGTTGCATGTTTTCTTTATATCTAAAAGAAATAACCAGAGAAAAAAACAAGAGGGAAGGATCTTGAAACTAATCATGTCGATGTCTGTGCCATTGCATAAATCAATCTTGATTTTGTATAGAACTACTCATGTATATATATTTTAAACCATAAGCCATAAATTAAAATAAGCCACTTGCCTATTCGTGCTGTCACTCAACCCTTCAAGGATAGAACGTACTTTTTTCTCGGCTTTGACTGATGGAGATAAAACGCATGCCTGGAATGACCACAAGAACCAAGGATCAGCTATAAAACATTTGAAGAGGGGATAATGATGCTGAAAGCTGTAATGTACAGATAGGTATATATCTACCAAGAAAGATGGTGGCAGACCATATCTCAGAATGCTCTCAGTAAATACACGTACTGCACAAAAATGCATCCAGGAGCTGAAAACCTTAAGGAAACAAAAAAAAAGTAATAGCAAGTCAGAAGAGCCACAACATTTATGATATCAAGGCAATTAGACAAAGCCAAGTCAAGAGAACTTGTTAACATTTTATGATAGTGAGGAAAAGCAAAATTTTCAAAGACAACAAACACTACAAATTTAAAGAGAAAAACTACAGGCCGCCCCATAATGCTAGCAGTGATTAGTCAAGGACAAGGCATCAATATAAAAGAAATCCAGCATGCAGATTGTCACGTAATTAACCATAAGTGTTTTCATCATAGGTTAGGATGGGCCTAGGGAAACCCAAATATGCCTTGAAACCTAAATAGTTTAACGTCTTTATTTGATGGGATTAAGTTATTAGCATATTAGGATTTTATTTTAAAGTTAGATTTTATTTTAATTCCCTAAAGTCAGAGAATGACACTAGGAGGGTCATTATTAAATTTTTGGCATCAATTAGATTATACTCCCTCCGTTCCTTTTTACTTATCAATATTTTAGTAAAATTTTATTTTTATTTACTTGTCATTTTTAAATTTCAATACAACATTATTTTTTTTGTCGACTATACCCTTACACATCACCTAACTTTTAATTAACTTAGACATGACAACTAATATGCATCTATTATAAAGTAAAAATGAAAGAGGGTATAAGAGAAAACATAAAAATCATTCTATGGAAAATAGGAGAATTTATCACATTTTTTTGTCTGTGTATAAACAACCTTAAATGACATTTATAAAGTTAGGAACGAAGGTAATATAAGTGTATTCCCTATTGTGTATGAGCAACAACGATAAATCAGAATGTTTATCTTTATCTTTATCTTTTCTATATTCTATAACATTTTTATCTTATCGTAACCTGTTTAATGGTAGCTTTCTTAGTTATGAAGTAACCTAGCTTTTAGTTGTCTATCACCATCAGCTTGTTTCTTCCTGCTACCTGTAAATTCTGCATTGTAATACTATGGACATATTTCTACAACTTAAATGAAGCGATGTATAAATGAATAATACCTCTCCATAACTGGTATAACACCACTGCAATAGAGAAGCCTTCAAACTTTCCTGGTCTCCCATCAATTTCTCTAACTCCTGCTTTCGACTCTCATGTGATTCTTGACTATATTCAAAATCACGAATCTGAACAAAGGATATAAAATCCCATTACCTATCATCAACTCATGAATTGATATTGCATACTTGGCATAACACACGTTATGCATTCCCACATATTTCCATAAACAAGTTACAGGATGAAAATATAAAAAAGAATATACAAATTTTACTGATCCTAGCAAATGGAAGACAGTATATGCAACTTGAGAAAAGTACTTACTTGGAACCCTTTTTCCCGTGCACTAGTTCTAAAATTGTCTGCAACTCGACTGAAGAGTGTCACAGTATAAAGAGCATATTCATTATCCTCATACAACTTCTTGGAAGACCTGGGAACCTAAAATACTTAACTTAATCAGAATGAAAAATAAATCAAGGAAAAAGGTCGTCTTTAAAATATTTCAGAGTTAGAAAACATTGTTGGACTATTTATATAGATAACAGAGGTTTTTTTATCATTAATCAAGAAATATTGTGAATCACCATTTACAATAATCTAAGGGAAGTAGCAGAAGCCATTTAAGTGTATGAGCAATATGTTAACTCTTACCACATAGTTTGTTAATGTTTCATAGCTTGAGAGCCAATCCTTCTGTGAATACTTGGAAACAATTGCAAGAAGGGTAGTTAAATGTTCTGAAGTTATAATATCCTCAGGTTTTACCAAGTTGGAAAGATCACGGACAGCTAAGCTAAAACAGGCAAATAGATCATTTATGTCAGATAAGAAAGATAACACATTATTATATAACAAAGTCATTATCAGGACATAAACAACCACACCTTCCACTTTGCTTCCGGTTGATGGCATTAAGCTGACTGCGGATATTGTTGTACTCAGAAACACGAACCTGACATGACACAAAGTTTTAAGGGTAAAACAGAATATTCAATCTACATTGTGCAAAATGGAGATTCAGTATTTTACTTCGTTTATCAGCAAAGAACAATGTCATTCTTTCTCTTTCTTTTTTATTTGGCAGGAGGGGGAAAAAGAACAATTTTAACCAAAGCTTCTGAAATGGCTGGTCAAAACAATTTCATTTTCCATATAGACCTTGAACTTTTATTTTATTGGCTGAAAGAAAGGGCCTTTGAATAGTTAGTGAAGAAAGGAGACACAAAATGGATAGACAATAAGAGGGGGAACTCTAGAGGAAAAAAACATAGCTATGCATGATTTCAAGGTCAACCAAAATACAAAAATCATCCTCATCAAGGATTGAGTAAGTCTAGAGATTTTAGATCATAGCCAAATAAGAGTACCACAACAATTGTTACCAATCAGCTTATTTTCTAATTAGCTTTCATCTGGAAAATGAGAATATATCTATCCAAGAAAATGGCAACAAATTCACAAAAGAAAACATTCCAGGGATAGAATGAGTTGATCAAGTTGCATTTTGCAAAAACTATCATTTGGTCTTTCACATTCAATCAACCACCTCCACTTTGCTAAAACTAGTAATTGAGGACAAATATAGGCCATGCATGTAACAAAGACATAAAACTTGACCATGTCCAATACTGAGTGTTAGTTGTTAACCCATTCAGTAAGGAAACAATGCATACTTTTATAATTTCCGACATTTTATTAAATTGTGTTTTTTTATATAAAAAAAATAACATTTCCCATTGTGGGTAATAAGGATTAGAGCAATGAGAAAACAACAGATAACAGAATTGAGTATGACTTAATAATGTGGTAATACTCTAACATAATGCTCTTTGTGTTGCAAATTAAGTAAAATAGTACTAATAGTACAAGCTCCAAGCTCAATAGCAATAAGACTAATAACACTAATACTCAAAGTTCTAATGCTCTCCAAGTTTTAAGCTTGTTACAATTAGAAAACCCACAATTCAAATTGGATTTCGAATTATTAATTTCTATTTTTTTATAAAAAAAATAGTATTTCAAATTTTTTTTTTCATTATTAAGAAAAGGTAACGAAGATAAATTACAAGATTGATTAATAGAAATCTTAATTAATCCCAATTACAAGTTCACAAACTGTCTCAATCAAAGAAATTATGTAAATAACTACTTTTCAGCCTTACTCCTTAGGCCCCTCAATTTTCTTCTACTTTCTTCCTAACCCGTGTCCCAAGCAAATGAGATAAGACTTTGACCTTTTCCTTCAGTGGCTCCCATATCCTCCAAACTAATCCCCCAGACTATTGGTCAGTTTCAAGCCACCCAGCAATCAAACACGGCCTTTACTAGCATTTAAATTCTTTAATCCACAAACCCAAATGATGGAGGCCCATGGACCAAGGGTCCTATCACTAGGGCTATGGCAAGAAGGATGGAGAAAGATTGGGCTGGCAAAGAAGAGGGAAAGCCCAAGACACTTTTTAGTTGGGTTGTATCTTGAAGCCCATATGGGCTAGTATTTGTTTTTGTGGGCTTTGTATTTTGGCCATGTAGATTAGGATTTCATTTAAGGCTTGTATTTTCGGCCATGTAGAGATAGGATTGATCTTTTTCATGTGAAACTACATTTACATGTAATTTAGGTTATATTTAGGTGCATTTGAGCACATGTGGACGGCCAAGGAAGTGGCACACATGGCATGTTTCAAATGTCCTCCAAATGTAACCCAAATCACATGCAAATGAGAGTAGCACATGGGAGCACATGGAGAAGCTTGGATCCGGACCCAAATTTGAATATTTGAATTCAAATTTAGGCGCCCAAGGTTAAGATAACCATACCAAGGTTTATCTTAACCCGAGGCTAACCTAGCTTCTTCCACACACTTCTCACGCCTATATATAGATCCTTCCTATGTGTCTAAGTCCAAATTCTAAAAATTAGCTTTGCCAACCTGGCTGAAAATTATCTACTTGCCTGAAACACCTTTTGTTACACTCACCCAATCTGTCTCACAGGATAACAATCAAATTGTCACCAACCATAGGAACATCTGACCTCACTTATAACAAAGATAATCCAATAACTAGAAGACAAATTAAATCCAAAACAGAAAAGAAACAGACTGCAAGAATAATTTGTTGGAGATGTCACAAGAGCTCTAGTCTCCATCAACATAGTTTAAATTACAGGGTTTTACTTATGGTAGGAGGGGGGATAGAAAATCAATTAATGTAATAAAATAATATTGATATTGATATGATGTGATGGATGTGATGCAAGAGACAAAACACTAATCCCTATTTATTCTTGTACTAGATTCTAAATCCTAATTAAATAAGGGAAAAAACATGAAATATAAGGAAATAAGTAAACCAATCCTAAAACCTCACCTAAGATACTCTAAAATATTCTAAGATGAAATATTGATATAACAAGATAGTTTTCACTGGGAAAAAACACATCCAGCCTGTTAGGATGTGTGTATGCATGAATAAAACCACATCTATCTCATCATCAACAGAACTAATTCTAAATACAAATTACATATTGCAGGTTCATGGGCTGCATAAGGCTCTTCCTTCTGATATGCATGTAATGTATTGTGCTTTCTAAAGATCATCTTCTATTTTTAGATGTGGTTTCTAAATGGACTCCTTATTCGGCATTGGTGAATCTTGGGTTTGTTTTGGGCATCTGAATCAATTCTTGATAATAAGCTTTCTTGGATTTGGTGGAAGAGGCTAAATTATAGTGGCATTATGCAACCTATGGTAAACATATGTACATTTGGTCAGAGAAGAATACCACATTTTAAGGAGGCAGCTTTGGCACAACACGTGGTTTGGGATTTAGATTAGACTTCTGGCTTCTATTTGTTCTAGGTTAAAATTATTTAATGGGGATTCACTAACAGATATATTGAGGGATTCAGCATATTTGCTCCATTTATTTTAATCTAGTTTCTTAGTTGTTAACTTTTTTTTTTCTTCTATTTTTTAGGAGATTCCTGATTGTCCAATCTCCTTGTAGTTTTTTCTTTGTCTCAGTGTATTTTTTCTTTCATTAAAAAAAAACAAAAAAAAACTCCAGGCTGCCAAACAAACAACCAGGCATCACTGCCATTTGCATGCCCTCCCTCAGCACCAACAACCACAAACAGCCAATTTTCACTAGCAATCATTTGTGGCTTGCCAGAAGATGAAAATAGACGCCAGGAGAAGGATTCCCAGAACCAGATAACAACTAGGTCCTCTTCTTGTTTAACATACAAAATGGTTTACTATTAGAACAGGAAAATAATAGGGTTTTAGGGAAAATAAAAGGGGCTGTGCAAAGAGCTCCAGGAATTCAAAAATGCAGAAAGGTGATCCCCTCAGCCGATGGTACTACTATTTTACCATGTGGTTTTAGGTAAGGATTAAGGAAAGGAGAGAAAAGTTGACAACAGTAATACTACATATATGATAGATAGTTAAATGTGAAAATACCCTAACAGAAACTGATAATAAAATCTCAAATACAATATCAAATCAAGATTCAAATAGTTAATTGCCAGGCAAGATTTTGAATCGTGAATCATAATCTGTATTGAATTGTAAGATTCAAAGACAATGAAAAATTACTTTAAATATATCATACAGATTATACATAGCGTTCCATCTTAAACAAGAAATAGTTAAGACAAATTAAACACAAGCCTTATAAAAAAAAATTTTAGTTATATCCTAAGTTTGTTAAGCCTTTATTTAGAAGAGTGGAAATGAAGCAATGGAATAGACAAATAAATTACATGCATTGAGTGAGCAGGAGAAAAATAAAGTAGTAGAATAATCAAACAGGATAAGTTTGAAAGTGCTCCTTTAATTTCTTTTCATTTAACAATTTAAGTTTATATGACTTTTCAATTTTTTCATGAGAATTGGTGAAAAAAAATATATTGAATTGTCTAGTCATGTGATTTATATCGATGAAATGAAATTCCGCGTATCCATTCATGTATATATTAAAAAGTCATTCAAGATTCACTTCATGATACAAATCAATAGGTAGCCAAATTGAAACATAAGATTCGAATGTGAATCAAAAGAATCTAATAACTATGCTAGTCAAATATTCTAATGAGTTAAACAAATATTTAGATGAACAAAAAATTTGCTAAGTGATGTTTTAATTATGATTCTGATTTCAACCATTTCTTTCTAATAGTTTCAATATACATAATGATCTCAAGAATCAAGATAGATCCCTATTAAGTTCCAAAATTGACAGCTGTTGAAAATTAATGATATAGTTTTAAGATACAGATATTAAAAGCTAAATGACTATCAAATCAAGAATGTCCTGCATTCATGGCTACAGGTGGATCCCAATAAATTGCTGCAATTTAAGGAATTAAATAAAGTTCATCAACCAAAACCAGTACTACAGATGAGTCATAAAAATGGCCTAAGATTATTAAAATTAAATTCATAGCCCATCCACCTTATATAGTGTACTAGTTTCTCACTGAACCTTCTTAACAAAATCTGATAAATTGAGGTTCTCTATCTAGAATAAGTCATGAAATAAAATGAGGCTATGCATAAAATATAAAGAACTTCAAAGAGAATGTCACTAATGAGAGAAAGTCTGAAGGTTCATGACTATCCAATGAAAAGCTAAGAAAGGTAAGCACATGCACAATGCTCAATGTTGTCAACTCCTGTCTTTTATTAATTACAAGCTTGAAAAATTTCAAGTATTGACTAATTGTGCATGAGTACAAACATCCCATGCTAAATGATAAGCATGATGCATTGAGCAGGTAATAAGACACCACCACATCAGGTGTTGCATGAAAGCTAATGTTAGAGTGTGTAAAGACTACTACGTCCAAACAGAACTGACACACTTCCTAATCTTGGCATATGTTGTGCTAAGTTTAATTGCAAATTATTAATATATTTCTTTGGCTTATCAAAAATAAAAATAAAAAGGAACTGACCCTATTGGCATGATAGAATTTATGCAAGTTTAGGGTAAGCACTACTACCATGAAAGTAACCGTTAATTATTTTTTTTGTCTACATAAGCTACATGGTCAGAGTGCGAAAACCTTAAGAAATGAAACCTATCAAAGGTTCAGCTACAATTTATCATTTTCAACAAAATTAAAGTGATACTAATCCATTACCTTCAGGTAGAAATCAAGAAAAAAAAAATAAAAATGCCCATCAAAAAGCAAGGACTTGACATTCCTCAATAGGAAGCAAGAACATGAAATTACCACAGGGTACACATCACTGCAAAGAAATAGATTACGCATTTGCCGCTCACAGAACCTAATCAAATTATGTCGAACTTTTGAAGTAAGAAATTTATATAACCTTGAGATCATCTTCAATCTTTGCCACCTGACCATGAATCCCATCCACAATCTCCTTCAGTGGCGACATAGTCGGGTACTTGGCTTCATCCCAAACAAACCTGCATCCACAACAACACCACCAAATCCTCATCACACAACAACAACAACAACGAGATCACCACCAACAGATCACAAATTCCAACCAAACAAACCAACCTCGTCAAGTAGGAATCAACAGGGACTCCATCCACCGTCAAACTACTGCTCACCACGCCAGACACTCTCTCCAGCTCCTCAATCTGCCGCCTGATCTTGTGCGACACTCCCTCCATGAAACTGTTCGACTGCACTCACAAACAGATCAAGCACAATCAACCAACACAGAATTACAAGGTTCCAAAAAAAACAAACAAAAAAACGTTCGTAACCACAATTGCCTGCGCCACATAACCACATTTGTCCGTAATTTCCCGCAATATCAAAGATCGTAACGAAACCGTAGTCACTACCACCGCGATTCAAAACCCATCCAACAAACACGCGAAACCGATGAATGTCTTCGCGCGATTGGGAATTGGACGTACCTTGACGAGATCATCGCTGAGAGAGAGGAGGGAGTCTAGGGTTCCGACGCGGAGATTGGGGATGTTGAACTGCGAATTTGGAGGGAAAAGGAAGAGAGAAAATGAGAAGAAATGAAGAGGCGGTGTTTGTGTTTGTAAAAATGCGAGGAGAGAGAGAGAGTACTCTGTAAAGAGGAGTGTCGAAGGAATGTTTGGAGATTTGTTCCTGCAATCGGTTCCAAAGAGTGGATGCGGAATTTTGAACGGGGAGAGACACTACCCAGTACCTCGTCGCCATTCGACTTTTCTATGATCGCGCGGGGAAGTAAAATGTAGAGAGAGAAAGACAGTGTTTGTCTGTGCTGTGGAAATGGAAATTGGAAACCGATCGCGCTTCTTCACGTATACTCACCGGGGAGTTTAAACGTGCAAATAGTTCTTATTTTATTTTTCTTTGGTAGTTACCAGTTGGGCATCAAGGAATCATGATTTGTTTGGTGCGAAGGGAGAGGATGAAGCTAATGGATTAGGAAGAGATGTGAAAGAAAGAAAACAAATGAATATTGGATGAAATTTTTAAAATATTTGGATGGTTTTTAAATATCATTTTAATTAATAAAAGTAAATTATTAACTATTAAGGGTAAAGAAAAAAGTGAAAGTATATTATCTTAAATTTGAATGTTGTAGTGTTATTATAATTTTAATGGATAAAAAAAAATATTACATGACTAAAAATTAATTTTAAAATTAGAGAAATAAAAATAAATTTATCTCGTATATAATAAATTAAAAAGAATATTTAAACTCATTTAAATTAATATAATTAGAAAATAAGTAAAATAAAGAAGAGTTTTTATTTTTCACTTGTGTTCATGTATATATATATGAGTTAATCACATATGTACTGGCAATATAAATTTTTTTTACACTAAGAACTAATCATATCTTTTAATAGTGTCATGTTAGTTGTCTATTTAATAATAAAATAAAATAATTTAAATGATATGATTGGTTGCCAGTGTAAAAAAAACTTTACATTGACAGTGTATGGTTGATTAACTATATATATATATATAATAAATAAGTAAACACCGATGTCGTTTAAACCATTCTATATATACTAACGGGATCAAGGTACTTCGTGTCTCTATATGAATTTTATCTCTAAATTTAAAATAACTCATGGATTGAATGAATTCATTCTTGACATATAATCGTATAAATAATTTTACACTACTTATATGATTAATTCAATCATTGTTCATTGATGAAGTGCATAATAATCAAAACATAATAGAATACGATTTCATATAAAAGAAAAATTTATGTTCTACATAGTTATATTTTTAAGGGTGGATTATAATATATATAATAATCACATGAACTTTTTAGATCATAAATTTTTTTTAATAGGAAGATCAAATAATGATTTTGCTTCAAGACGATTTTTAGCTTCCCTGCAAATTATGAACGAAATTAAATGTCAATAAATATAAATAATGTCATAAATAATTAAATTGCATAATGTCATACCTTTCGAGAATAAATTTTAATTCTTTATAAAATACATCATCCATAATTTCTTTAACTTTAAAAAACTGCAAAAACAAATAATAGAGTGTCAAGTATCAATATGAGAAATTTAACATTTCATGTTAATTTTTATAGTTTAGGAAGAAAATAACCCCAACCTCAAAAATGGAGATATCTTGTTTTGCATGAAAGTTGTTAATATGACAGATATTACTCGATCTTGCATTTTCAAGTGTCATATTATTGTGAAAAATATGAGTTAGAATTTATTTAAATGAGGTAATAATACAACTATATTTTTATATCTATGAAATTGTCACATATAAAATATTTTTAGAACCATATTATTATATTACCTTTCTAATTTTTGAGACAACAATTCTTTTTTCACCATTTTCCAAAGTTGGGTTTTATCTACTATTACTGTAGAACTCCACCTAATAGAATATACTTTTAAACGATGAACCTGCCATAAAGAAAATTTAATTTAAATAGATAAGCAATAACAAAATATGAAGATGACATTTTCAAATTAAATTGAACCTTGTTGTCAATGAGAGGAATTGTTGAGAGTGAATACTTGTCCTTCCAAATATTCCATAATTTTTCAAATTCATCCTCCTAGTAAATATAAGTAATATAATGAAAAATAGATGATAATAAAGTTTCATAATAAAAAGTGAATAAATATGTTATCACTTACTTGTTTGTCAAAATACTAATTCAAATTCTTTTTATTGATCTCTTCATATAACTGGAGGATCTCCTTGAATCTTAATTTGACTGTAGATAAAAAAATAAAAGAAACAAATTTTAGTTTTTGTATATCATTATCAAATGTTAATCTAAATTCATAAATATTATAAATTAAAAGGGGCAACACCTGATTTTGAGATAACAAAATTTCTTTAAAAATAATATTTTTCGTAAAGTTTTAATCTTCCCCTTCAAGTTTTTCTTCTTTAATAAGAATTTTTGTTGAAGCTTGAGAAACACCTCTTGACAAAACAACATATAATTGACCATGACTAAAAGCATGTCGCGGAAGATAAATTCCAACATTGGGTATTGTTTGTCCCTGTGACTTATTTATGGTAATTGCAAAATTTAGTTTCACAGGAAATTGCTTCCTAATAAGTACAATGGGAAGTCCTGCACTTTCTGTTGTCTTATGTTTAATCCTGGGCAAAAAAGATCTTTTTCCAGCATTATGACCTATTAGGATTTCAACATCCAACATATTTATAAAGAATCTACGACATAATAACCTTGTTCCATTACATAAGTCAGCTTTAGGATCTATGTTTCGCAACAACATGAACAGTGCACCTTTTTTAACCTTCAGATTATGTGGTGGAAAACCACTTGGAGTAATAGAGTGCAAGTATTCTTGTTGATATAAGTTGTGTGTATCCCCTTCAACCTCATCAAATGATAACAAATCTTGTTCTTCTCCTAGGAAATGGTGGATGATAATGTCATTAAGCTTTTGAACATCCTCATTTTTTGGTGTTAGTGTGGCTCTTTCTACCATATAAGAAGCATCCCATGTATGAGATTCTAATTGTGGAAATGTATCACGAATAAGTTTTTGTATTGAATTTTCCCCTTCCCATATTATTTCAATTTGATGGGGTACTTTTACCATATCATCACATTTGGTAGGTTCAGTACCATCTCTAATGCGCATTAGATATTCTGCAAAATTAGGATCTTGTAATGATCGCATGTTTTGTCTCAAATGTAAAACCTTTGTGATAGGCCATAAATGAGACTTAACAATACTGCATATATCATTTGTGCCTTAGTACCCTTTTGAACAACAGGATGCACTTGACGAAAATCCCCTCCCAACATCATAATTTTACCACCAAATGGAGCATCACAATCTAGAATATCCTTTAATGATCTGTCTAATGCTTCCAAAGCATATCTATTTGTCATGGGTGCTTCATCCCAAATGATTGTTGTGGTTTCTCTAATTAGTTTTGCAAGATCAGACTATTTACTTATAAAACAAAATGAATTTGCCTCTACATTGATTGATATCTTAAATCTAGAATGTGCAGTTCGACCACCAGGTAATCGTGTTGCAGCTATACCAAATGAGGTAGTTGCTAAAACAATTTGTCCCTTGCTTCTCACTTTTGCAATTAAAGTGCGATAAAGGAATGTTTTACCTATTCTTCCTGGTCCATCTACAAAGAAAATTTGACTTTGTTTATTGTTGATAAGATCCATAATGGCATTGAATGCAATTAATTGATCATTATTTAATTTAAGCATAGATTCTACATCTTCATTATCTACCTGGATGGATAACTCCTCTTGTATAACCCTTGGCATCAAAGAACTATGAGTATTCTCCATTGTTATTGTTGGCAAATCATAATTTGTGATTTGTTTTCCATGTTGAATCAAAAGGTCATTCAAATCCTTTAATAACATGTTAATGAAACTTGTTGTCGTAGCAATGCTTGTTGAAGGATAGTCTTCCATCATGTAGGTGTAAAAATTATCCCAAAGTTGTCTAACATTGATTGGTTCACAAAAGATTAATACAGTTACAAACAAACTCCTTAAAGCATAAGGCATTCATAGACTTGATGCTTCAACTAAGCATTCATGAATACTATTATCACTTTCTAAAAAGCCCCAATGCTCAGCTAATTTCTTGAATGTGGTAAAACATGTTCCATTTGGTGAAATTCCCAACTCATTGGACCTTTTAAATGAGATAATAGAACGCGTAGGTAAAAATTTTCTCCTTCGGAAGGAGATACTGTATAAATTCTACCAATGACTTTCTTCTGTGACCTTCTTCGGTACCATTCCTTATCCCCCCTATGCCAACAATAATGTTCTGAAATCTCTCTGTACAAATAGCTCCTTGAATTTGGATCTCTGCGATTTAGGGCAAAGAACTATGTCAACATTGTTTTGGTGTTATGGTCATTGTTTAGAACATCAGTGATTCTTTGATGATTATAAAATCGCACTTACTGGCGATTTGGTAAGTGAATTTGTAATCTTTCAACATATGGATATATTCGATAAAGAGTAAATCTAAATATCTTCCACAAAGCTTCTGGAGCACAAATCCATCTTGCATCAATATATTGTTGAACCTCATCTAAATTTGAACATCTATAAACCTCCATTGATATTCGATCTAGACCTTTGTAGACATATTTATATAAATACTTAATACTTTTGATGCTACTACATACTTCCACGTTTATATGACAGTTGTACTTTAAGAGTAACCAAGGGTTATAAGGAACCACCCATTTGTTATCAATAGTGACATTTCTATTAACAAATACTGGCTGGTTAAATCGTCTTCTATATTGTGGGTATGAGTCATTACCTTGGCATGTCTCTTAGTAAAATTATTTTGTACATTTTTTTGCACTGACCATTCTTCATACATGGAGAATTAGGATTCAAAGTTCCACAAGGCCCATGAATCATGTGCTTTAGTACAACCTCATGAAATTATGGTTCATCTTCAAATTTAGGTATTTCTACCCTCACAACGCTATCATAATCTTCTGGGTCACATAATTTGTCATTACTTTCTATGATCAACAACATATGTACATGTGGCAGTCCACGCTTTCGAAATTCTGTCACATACATGTAACTTTTTATCTTTCTAAGGACCCCTTTATTAATCACATCCTCCTTCAATTGCTCAAATTTTGATCGAAATATTCTTGTCAGCAAGTTTGGACGATCTTGTGGTGTTTGATGAGGGCCTAGTTCAGATGATATTTCGCTCCAAGAAGGATTACATGTCATTGTGAGGAAAATGTTCGGTTTACCATCATTAAGCACAATAGTCATTCCATCTTCATAACGTTGTGTCAAGTCATGATAACTACCAAAAAATGATGATGGTAATATTGTTCTTTGACCGATATTTTCTACAATAATAATTTTAATTTGTTGGTTTTGCTAAATCACAATGAATATTATTGAAATAAATATGACATTCATAAATATTAT